TATATATATATATTTTAAAAACCATAATGAGCCCTAGCCAGTTTGCTTCAGTGGATAGAGAGTCGGCCTATGGACAGAAGGGTCCTGGGTTCAATCCCAGTCAAGGGCATGTACCTCGGCTGCAGGCTCCTCCCTGGCCCAGGCCCTGGTCAGGGCACAAGCAGGAGGCAACCAATCGATGTGTTTCTCTCACATTGATGTTTCTCTGTCTTTCCCTCTTTCTTCCACTCTCTCTAAAATCAATGGGAAAATATCCTCGGTTGAAGATTACAAACAAAAAACAAAACCATAATGAGACCCCATTTTACATCTACTAGGATGGCTGTGATAAACAAAAATAACAAATGTTGGCGAGGATGTGGGGGAATTGGAACGCTTATACACTGCTGGCGAAATGTAAATGGTGCAGCTGCTACAGAAGATAGCTTGAAGTTCCTCAAAAAGTTAAACATAATATTACCTTATGACCCAGCATTTCTACTCTTAAGTGTATACCCAAAAGAACGGAAAACAAGGATTTAAACACGTATGTTATTATGAATGTTTATACCAGCATTATTCACAATAGCCAGAAAGTGAAAGCAATGTTCAAGTGTCCATCAGCAAATGAATGGATAAACAGAATGTGGTCTATCCACACGATGGAATATTGTTTGGTCATAAAAATGAATGAAGTATTGATTTGTGCTATGACCCAGATGACATTTTAAAATGTTATGCTCAGTGAAATAAGCCAGACATAAAGGACAACTACTATATGATTCATTTATATAAAATATCTCGGGTAGGCAAATGCAGAAAGAAAGTAGATTAGGTTTCCAGGAGCTGGGGGGAGAAGTGCATAGAAAGTTACTGTCCAGTGGGTACAGAGTTTCTGTTTGGGGTAATAAAAAAATTGAAAATAGATACTGGTGATGGTTGTACACACTGTGAATACAATTAATGCCACTGAATTATACACTTAAAAAATGGATAAAAATGGATAAAGTGAAGGGGGAAAAAGGAGACAACAGCAACAAAAAATTTTGAAAACTTAAAAACAAACAGAAGAGTCATAACTGATATAACAGACCTAAAAAAGTTGAATCTTAAGCTGGTCAAGCCAAGAAGCAACTCAGTTTATGTTGCACAAACACCAAAAGCTCAGATAAGAGGGCAAAGGTAGATGTAACAACAGTAAGTCTGGTTAAAAGCCTGTTTAAATAGCCAAGACCTGGAAACAACCTAAGTATCTTTTGATAGATGACTAGATAAAGATGTGGCCATAAAAAATGATGAAATATTGCCATTTGTGACAACACGGATAGATCTTGAAAGTATCATGCTAAGTGAAATAAGTTAGACAGAAAAGGCAAGAACCATTTGATTTTACTCATGTGGGATATAAAAAAGCAACAAACATAAAAACAAAACAAACAAACTCACAGACACAGATAACAGTTAGGGTTACCAGAGGGTAAGAAGGGCCGGGTGAGGATGAACAGCATAAAGGGGGGCATAAAAATGGTGATGGAAGGAGACCTGACTTGGGGTGGGGAGCACACAACGCAATATACAGATGTATTATAGAATCGTAAACCCGAAACTTATTACATGCATGACATAACCACAGGGTGCTATAAAAAAGAACATTTAGAAAGTTACAGAGAGAAGTGAGAGAAACCAGAGGGGACAAAAGCAAAGAAAATAATTCGAGGAAATATTCCCAAGCCAAAGGATAAAACAGACTGTGCTGACTGGTAAGTGTGGGATGCAGAACAATTCTCCCCAAGGATGCCTGTGCCCCAGTCGCTGGAACCTGAGCTATGCTGGGGCAGAGGCTCTCTGCATGGGACTAAGGTTATGGACCGTGAGGTGGGAGAGCAGCCTGGTGGGCCTAATAAATCATGAGCCTATAACCGAAGCTTTCCCAGCTGAAGTCACGAAGAAAGAGAGAAACACCAAAAGCTCAACGTGAGACTGATCTGCCACGGCTGGCTCTGAAGGTGGAGCAAGGGGCCGCCAGCCTCTAGAAGCCGGAACAGCCTCAGCGACAGCCCGCTGGGAAATGGGCACCTCCGTCCTCCAGATGCAGGACACTAAATTCTGCCAACAACCTGGATGTCCCTGGGAACAGCTCCTCCCCTAAGACTTCAGTAAGGAAGGCAGCAACCTGGCTGCCACCTTCATTTAGCCCAATGAGACCCGCGCCGGATTCTGTAAGGCAATACTTTGGTGTTTTTGTAAGCTGCTAAGTCTGTGCTAAGTTGTTGCAGCAGCAAAAGAAACCTAATACAGTAGGACCCACAAAAAAGTCAGCATGACAGATAAAAGGAAATAAATCCGAAAGCACACCATTTCTGAGTACAGGATAAACAGACCCTCCAAGGCGCTAGACCAGCATTATCCAACACTTCTTCAGCACTTGGCTAGTGTAATTTAATTTAAATGGTCACATGTGGCTAGCGGCCTCCATATTGAACAGCATAGCTCTAGATAGAAAAAAGAAAAAAAGAGGTTTGTACAAAGGACCAAGCGTCAGAATGGCATTAGCCTTCTCTAGAATCCTACACCTACCTATCAATCAAGTGGGAAGGCACATTTTTTCAGATGTCAGTCTCCAAGAAGTTACCTCCCAAGTGCTTTTCTGCAGAAGCTGCAAAAGTATGTCCTCTACTGAGGCGAGGGAGTAACCAAAGAAGAAGACAACTGAGGTGGCAACATAAGAGATGAGAGATCCCAGGACAATAGCTGTGAGAAGGCCCGGAAAGCAGCCCGTCCAGGCTAAAGCAGCCACAAGGCTCAAGGCGGAGCTACTACAAGAAAGCGAAATTGACAGAGCATCTGATGTGTTTGAACATGATGAGCGATTTATAAAGGCAGGAGAATCTGGGACAGAATCAGGAAGAAATGCATAGAAGACTAAGCAAATGAGAAAGCAAGACAATTATGAATTCCGGGAAAAACAAAATGCTATGTATAAAAGAAGTTATCACAGTTTGATGCTTACTTACATAGTTAAAATAACCTAAGACCTAACCAAAATTATGGTAACTATACAAGGAAGACAAAGAGATAGGAAAGATGATTTTATTTTATTTTCATTTTTAAATGTTTTCATTGGTTTTAGAGAGGAAAGGAGAGAGAGAAAAAAACACACACATCGATGTGAGAAACACTGATAGGTTGCCTCCCATATGTGCCCTGACTGGGCTTCGAACCCACCACCTTTTGGTGTATGGGACGATGCTCCAACCAACTGAGCAACCTGGCCAGGGCTATGTTTACTTATATATATATTTTTAAAGTATTACAAAATAGTAAACCAGCACTTATAAAGCTTCAAAAACGCTACCCACACTATCTGTTACTAGATTTCCCGAGCTGAGGCCCCAGAGAACCTTGGGAAGGCTCACTGCCCAGCCAGCAGCTTCCTACAGTCCCGACCGGAGCCTGCTCACCTGCCGTCATGGGAACGACGTCTGAGCGCAGGAGTATCTGGATGCGGCCGGCTGGCTTGTTCCCAATCTTGATGTCCATGTACACCTGAGGGTTCGACCGGGCCTTTTTGGCAGTGGGCTCTCCCTGGGTGAAGAAGAAACCACTAGGTTAGAGAGAACTCCCTGAGCAGGGCAGCGAGTAGTCTTCTGCATACACACCCAGAACCCAAGTGCAGGGAGCAGGCTGGAGTGAGGTGCCGACAGGGGAGGCCTGGGCCCCGCTGGGGCTGCAGGAGGCAGAGGCCATGGCCAGCACGGAGTTGGACATCAGTGACAGGAGACCTCCAGCCCACAGGCATGTTATCTCATCACACTGGGCCTCAGACAGAGGCTTGCTTCACTCTCCCTGAAGTCACGTATAACACTGTTCTGGCCCAACACAACTCTCAACACCTTCAAACACCAGCTCCAGTCCACTCACCTTACTCCAGTTAAACAGACCCTATTATGTAGCACCATCCCCTCCTTCTATGCTTAGTTATGTGCAGCCAAAGGCTGGCTACCGAGGAAGCAAGGAGGGCAGCCCTCTGGCTTGGGTCTAAGTGCTCAGAGACAATGGAAGAGGTGGAGGGGACCTTGCCTTATCCCCAAGTAGACAAAGCTAAGCAGAGGACAAGGAGACACTTAACACAGCCATCATATCTGTTCCAAAGAGAAGTCAAAGATTCATAACGTGTCTGTGGTTCAGTTTAACAAATGTACTGAAGATACTATTTCTATCATTTGCTGCTAACAACAGCAGTAGCGGTAAATACTCACATACTCACTTGCCACGTACAGAATACTATTCTAAACGTCTTATGTATATTAGCTCATTTAATCCTCAGAACCACCCTAGGTCGGGACCACTACTATCACCATTGTATAGATGAGGAAACCGAGGCACATTGAAGTTCAGTCACTTGCCCAAGATCACAGAGGTGGTAAGCAGTACAGCTGGAATTCAAACCTAAGCACTCACACAACCCACCCAGTCCATGCTCTTAATCACGTCACCCCACCTGATGTTGTTATTAACAAGATGCACAATACAAGGCCCCTATCCTCACAGAGTTTGCTGCTTAGAAAGAGAAAGGCAACAAGCACTTGAGTAGCCTGTACAAAAGCAGAGACATAGAGGGAAATACAAAGCCTGGCGTTACGATGTGGGGACTGCAGTGTGGAGAGGGGAGGGGGCAGGGGCAAGAACTTGGAGAGACCCTCTTGGCCTTTACCTCGCGGGACAGGTGATGGGGAGTCAGAAAAGATATCAGTAGGAGAGTCAGATGATGGGTCTTGTGCTTTAAAAAGATCATTCTAGCCGTCTTTAGGAAAGACTGGAGGAGAGCAGGATTCTAGCCAGAAGAGTAGTTAGGGAGCTACTGTAATTATCCAAATGAGATGAGAGGCTAAATCAGGACGATGGAACAATCAGGGAGGGGGATTCAAGGGAGACTTAAGAGAAAAACTAGCAGAATGTGATGATATGTTGTCTCTATTTTAAAGAGGGGTCTAGATGATCTAGGGGTATTGCACTGGCTGCGAGGGCCATTCATATGCTCTGCTTTGTATCCAAACTTCTGGCCTGGGTCAACGTGTGGATGGATGGTGGCACGGTAACAAGCTTGAGAATACAGGAAGAACAGGACAGAGAAGGGAGAGCACCCGTTCTGGCAATTTGAAGCTGCCTGTGCGCTTTGAAGCACAATGTCTAAAGCTCAACACTAGAAACAGACCGGGGAGTCAGCAGCACCAGAGAGGCTGCGAAAATCAGACTGGCTGCCACTATTTTGGCCGAAAGAAGAGAGCGATGCCATGAGCCAAGATAGAAGCAACATTCACGAGGGAGGAAAGGCCTGAGAAGCAATGATCAGAGAGAGGTATGCTGAGAATCAGGAGCAAGTGCCTAGGCGCGTCTCTGAGGGAGCGGAGCGAGAGCCTCAGACCTGTGTAGAGGCTGCAGGGGTGGTACCACTACCGTCCTCACTCTCCTGTGTCAGGACAGGACCAGGAATACCGTGGACCCGTTGAAGAAGGAGGGTTGACCAGGAGGAGCACTCACTACCCTTCCTCACGGGGGGCAGGGGGGCCTTCCTCCTCGTCAGCTGCCAATCACAAATCAGTACCTAAACTGAGCTAAAAAGCTGACAAGTTCATTGCCCAGAGCACAAGGATGAGGCTTAAAGCCTCTCTCGTTAGTTCACTCAATAGTGCCTTCACCGAAGTACTAGAGGTCCCTTTCATCCTCTCTACTTGTGAATATATATTTTCAAGTTTCCATAAAACTTTAAAAGAAGGCTCCTGTGGAAGCACCGGCCTCCCCTCCAGAAGCGCGCCTTCCTCTCACCTCCTGCGCTTCTGCTTTGGGGGGCTCCGACCCCTCTTCCTCTTTATTCTCTTCCAGAGTCTTCCCAGAGAACTTCTTCAACCAGTCATCATCTGACCAAACTAAAGGGAAAGAATCAAACAAATGTCAAGAGAGTCAAGCTCGTCCTAGCCGGTTTGGCTCAGTGGGTAGAGCGTCAGCTCATAGACTGAAGGGTCCCAGGTTCGATTCCAGTCAAGAGCACGTACCTCGGCTGCAGGCTTGATCCCTGACCCTGATTGGGGCACATGCAACCAATGAGCCTCTCTCACATTGATGTTTCTCTCTCTGTCTCTCCCCTTCCCTTCCATTCTAAAATCAATGGAAAATATCTTCGGGAGAGGATTAACAACAACAACAAAAGAGATCCCAGCTATGAGCCCACTGCTAAGTAGCTGCTTTGGTCAGCAAAGTGGAACATACTCTGTGGCCCTCTCAGCCACAGATTCCGCCTGGGGAACTCCCAAGGTAAGACAAGTTCCCACTGGGAGTGTCAGCCCTGAGGTCCAGTGCTCAGCAGGGCTAAGGGACAAAGCCATGTCAAAGGGAAAAGTGTAGTTTTGCCAGTTCTGCCCTTGGTGGAACACCCCAGGAACGAGAAAACTGGGGAAGATAAGGGAGCAGGCAGGGTTTCTCCATAATGGAAACAATTACCCTGAGAAGCTCAAACTCTTATTCCCCACAAAGGTGGCGCATGCCCTTCAGCTACTCCTGTTCACCAGAAGTGCACTCAGCACCTGCCGGGAACCAATTCCAGCATGTCATAATTTTAAGAGTTCCATCAAAAGGTTGATGAGACTTGGGGACTCAACAGGGTTGAGTCACACATGTAGTCACCATCTGGGAATGGCTAAAGCAGGGGTGAGCAAACTTTTTGACTCGAGGGCCACAATGGGTTCTTAAACTGGACCGGAAGGCCGGAACAAAAGCAAGGATGGAGTGTTTGTGTGAACTAATATAAATTCAAAGTAAACATCATTACATAAAAGGGTAAGGTCTTTTTTTTTTTTAGTTTTATTCATTTCAGATCCGGCCAGCTGGCCGTAGTTTGCCCACGGCTGGGCTAAAGGCATTTGCCCAAACCTGAATAGGAAACTGATTGTGGCTGCCAGACAGTTAAAGGGCATCTTAATCTACATGTTATTGCCTCCTACTGGCCAAACACCTGAACAGCCATAGGCTATTCCCCCATTCTGACAATGGACTCTGTACCCTTTGAAACCTTACCCATTGAAGTGTATTATCTCCACCTTGCCTTAGGACAAATTGTGTTAATAAAAGCAAGGGTCCTAGACAAGGAGGGACTCTTCAGTTCCTTTAGCTGAAGGTCCTCTGACCCCCAATGCCTTTCAAAATTATATCTCATCTCCGGATTCTTTATTAGTCTCTGGATTTCTATGTCATATATGCACAGCGCCTTTTCCAGATTCCTGAACCCTTCTTGATGCTGGGACAAGAACCCCAGCATAAATGGACGTCCAACGTGGGGTTTTCTGAACCCTGGCAGCGACAACAACCACCCATTTCCAGGTAACAGGGATAAAAACGCAACTAAGGCCACACTGGAGGACATGATGGGGAACCTGTGGTGGCCCCACTCACCTGGTCTGGAAGAGCCTTCCTTAATCCTCATTGGTTTGGCCAAATTGACGCGAATCGTCCGTCCAAAGAGTTCAGATTCATTCTGAAAAGATGGAAAATTCAGCTGCTTAAACTCTATTAGGGTAAAAGAGTCAGACAGGTTTTCCATGTGCTTCAGATCTTTGAGGCATGCTCCAATTTGTTCTCCCCGAACCCCTGAGCTCCTACCAGTAAGCTCTGCACCCACCGCAAAGCAGCCCTTGGGTTGCAGGGAGATGTCTCCCTGGAGCCGGCCCATACCTCCTTCCTTGCAACGCCAGCAAAGAACTGTGTTACCAACAGTAACTTCGGGCTCAGCATTATGAAGGTAAATGCGATTTCCAAGTACCTGAGTTCACCTTCAAATGTCAAGATCAGCTTTGAAATGGGGAGAAATGATCTCTCTCTGATAATTGAGGAATATGTTCGGCAAACAGGTAACAGAGGCCAGGAATAAAAGAGAACCTTACTATCCAAAGATAATTAGTACCAGGAAAGGACACTTAATGTGAGTCCATTTAGAGCAGTGAAGAAAATTTTTATGGTAAAAAGTAAAGAAAAAAAGGTCTGACTCGGACTTTACTGTGATGAAACTAAAAATAATGAAAATATATTTCTTATAGTTCAAATTTAGGTTTATGCACGGATTTGCAGAACACATATTTGCTGATTAATTTGCAGTATATTTTCCAACAAAATTCTAAACCACAGTATGATAGGACACCTTTGCACTGCGTATCTGACATTAAAAGCACAGGGATCTCAAAGAGCGCACAAAAACTCAAGAACATCATCATTTTCCCCAAGGACCGCTCCAGGACATTCAAATCATTTGCATTAATAGCACACCCCATCATTATCCTTATTGAATTTCTCTGATCAATTGTCAACTGGTCTAACGCTTCATGGAATCCAGCCTCTTTTGCAAAATATGCAACTTCACTGTGCATAGTGTTTGCAACTTATTACCCTGGACATGGGGTAGTCAGTGAGACACTGACCAATAAGGATGATTAGTATTTATATTATTGTTAATGGGGACAGATATTTGAATGAGGATTAATCTTATAAGTGATTAATTCACAGTGAATATTTGTATGATGACAGTTTTTACTTCCCCATGCAACCTTGTAACTTTGGAGGTTCAGCAAACCAATATATAAACAAGGAGCCCTCTGTGCCACCAAAACCAACTTCAGGAAGAGTGAAGACTCCCGGCCATACCATGTTGTCGATGGCTGCTGCAGCATCCTGTCAAGAAAAGACAAAGTACAAGTTTAGCTTCTTGTGGTGTCTAAACATATACTCAGTAGCAAAAATAACCCCCACAAAAAATCACAACAGGAAAAAGTCACCCCTCTAGTCCCTGCCTAGGTTGCATGTGTGTCTGACAAAGAGCGCTTCCTGGCTGACTTTGGAGCTGGTGGTGCAGCCATTTGCCATCTGGTGGAAGGCATAAGAAATAACCACAGCGCTGCCAGGCGAGGAGGCCCAATGAGCGGGGCTGCAGGAGCTCTGCAGAGCACGAGGGGGGACCTGGCTGGTCTGCCGTGTTAGCCACAGTCTACGCTTTGATTAAGTGAGGGACGTGTTTCTTCACACAGCACTTCTGTCCTCTGGAAGCATCAGCACGAGGCCCAGAAACCTAACCAAAAGGAGCACAGCTCCCTCTGTAATCAGTAATAACACGAAGATGAAACATGGTTAACGGAATTTTCTCACCTCTGCCAACTCAAATTCAACAAAAGCAAATCCTCGGTGCTTTTCTGAAAAAAGGGAAAACAAAAATAAGTAATTACCCTTTAGGGCAAGGGGAAGATGATCACAAGGAAAGTGAAGCCAGTTACAAGCCATATCCAGACATTAGAAATTCTACCCAATCCCTATTGCAGAAGAAATCTCATTCTTTAATTTTTCCTAGTTTAAACATTTCAAGCTATATTACACGTTGCTTTTTAGTGAACATGGCTCAATAATGAACTATACTTTTAATCTTTAAAATAAGTATTCCAATTTTTCTACCAAAGACAAATTAAAACCTTAACCTCTGCATGCAAGGAAACTAGAAAAATAAAGCCATTTACTAGTAAACTATTCATTCCAACTATACATTGAGCACCAACTATACATAAAGCATTAACCTGGATAAGGACACTCATACTTTATCCTCAGGAAAATGCTGATCTATCTAGAAAGGCCAAGCATAGCAGGGTTAATTTAATTGACCAACTAACTTTAGAGAATCAATAGAGCCTTACTGTTTTTTACAGATAAAGATCCCAGGCTCAGAGAATTTAAAGACCTTGCTTAACAACCATGCAGAGTTGATGATAGAGCTGGCCTAAAACTCCAATCTTTAAAATAGAAAACTGAACTGTAACTGTGATATCTATTAAAGGAAAACTTACCCAGGTGCACAGAGGCCAGGCCCCCATTGTTAGGGCGAGGATGCCGTTTATAGCACAGCTGCCAAGATGGGAGCAGCTGTGGCGGGGTCCCCAGTAGATAGTTTGAAACAACATTCAGGTCCACTTTGAGCCCACGTAGCTCAAAATCTATCTTCCTACTGGGCTACTGAAAATTGTTTTATATCAAATCCAATAGATGGGACTCTGCAGAGTTATGTTCCAGTTCACAACCACAAGCCTCAGAACATTCCTTCTGCATCAAGATCACTGCCATGCTACCCTACTGAGGCACCCTCCAGAACTTTCCTACATACCAACCATATCATATACTGTGATAGGACTTAAAAAAATTTTTTTAAGTTATTTTCTCAGTAGGATTCTGACCATAAGAGACACTAAAAGGACTCACCTGTTTCATAATCCAGAGGAATCTGAATATCTGTGATATCTCCAAAAGGAATAAAAGCTGCATGAAGAACTTTGTCATCCACCTCCTCTGCAAGTCCACCTGCAAAGAAGCCAAGGGCCTTCTGAGCCACTGAACTTTATTCTCTTGAGAAGTCCCTGCAGCCCAGGTAGCATCCAGTCCTTCGGGTACATAAGTACTCCTTTCAACTGCTCCGTCACCCACACTTATAAATCACACTGCTCTCTTCACCCTTCTTGCAGGCCCTCACCGAGTCTCAGAATTATTGCAATAGCGTCTTAATTGATTTTCCTCTCCTCCACAGAGCTAACTGGACAGATCCTGGGAATGTGCAGATTTTAACCCATCGCTTCCCTGCTTAAACTCCTCCAAAGGTTTCCTACTGTCCTCAGGATAAAGTACAAACTCTTCAGCAGGCTTTTCATAACTGGAACCCTCCCCACCTCTTCAGCTGTTCCCCCTCTGCTTCCCCAACTCTCTGGGTTCCTCTCTGGGTTCCCTAAAATGACCCACCTGCTCACAAGTGTAAGGCTATTTCACACTTTTGGGCTTTTGCTCTTGCTGCTCCCTTTCAGTAAATACACTTGCCCCTATTTTGACCACCTGGCTGAAAGCGGATCATCAGCGCCAGCATCACGGCATCTTGAAAGTTTGCTCTCACCTCTCCAGACGGAGGGATCATTGCTCCCCGTACCCATGTCATCGATGTCCGTCCCCACCAAAGCACCCATCAAACTGTGCTAGTGAAGTTATTCTCACTTCTACCTGGCTAGTCTGCGGACCCCTTCCTTGGGGGCCTGGGTTGAGCCCCCGTTGCAAGCGAAAGTTGGTCAAATGAATGGGCGCGAGCATCTGGAGGCCCATAATATTCCTCTACCAAACCTCCGGGTCCAGAAGGTAGAGGGGTTCCTGTTAGGGGCTAGCGGGCTTGGAAGGGAACCAGAAAGGTCTTTACGTCTCGGGCTAACACCTGAAGCAAAGCAGTACCGCCATAGATCCCTCCTAGACAGCTACTCGCCGCCCCCCGCGTCTGGTCCCGCGCCCAGACCCCGCCGGGTGCCCGCGGCTGCTCACCCACGTACAGCACACGCTTGG